TTGTGACGCCGTATGACGAGAGGGGGGGGGGGGGTAAAAAATCGTCAAATCGCGTGACGTCATTTATGGACGGCCCCTAAGTAGCAACTCACGCTGCTCAAGACTGAGCTGAGCCGGGCCGCGACTAAAAATATGGGCTGGGGCCTTGTTCAAGTTCAAGTTCATTTATTAGGTATAGCCCTGTGAGCCATTCGGCTCTTGAATCGGGTGCAACCGCAACAAACAAAAAACATTAACAAAAAACATCTTAAAGTGAATATGTGACTAAGTGCAAACAGAAAATCCAAGAAAAGACTTCTCCCGAGGCCAGCCCCAGCCAAATGTAAAAATTGTACAGAATGTATTACCTTCTCACTGTGCATTGTGGGTCTAATAGCCTTTACGCATGCTGGTTTACCATCTGCTTCTACTCACTCGCCAAGGGTCACCGACTCAGGACCCAACGTGGAAAATGATTACTTAAAGAAACAGACGACAACATTTACATGTCCACTTCCATTGTATGTAGCTAAACTACAAAAACGGGGTTATTCCTTATAATCTACACTTCAGAATATCTTCATACTGGAGGAATCTGATGAGCTATGAAGCACTTTTTTGCAGATGTTTTTCAATATTCCATGTTCAGGTTTTATCCGGGCTACCCCTCCCCACATTCCCCCCCCGGATAATCCAGAGTTGACTCCATCCGATTCTCTCCCACCATTTGCCGGGGAGCAGGTCGAAAGCGGGGAGCTGCGTTGGCCTCCTGAGGAGGTGCTCTCTGCTGAAGATGAGGAGGAGGCTGAGGATGAGGAGGGGGAAGAGGAGGAGGCTGAAGAGGAACCCTTCCCCGAGACTCAGCCAGCAGTGGAGCGAGAGCGGTGGATCAAATGCTCCTCTGCCATTCAAGAACGCCCATGTATGGAGCCACCACCACTCACTAGTGATGTTCATTGGTATATATAGACATGATTACATACACAGCCCTTTTAGTGAACCCACAACTGGATCAATACACGATGTAACACGATTTTTGTTTCTGGGTAGTGTTATTTCGTAATTGCTTATGCCTCAAAAGTACAAATAATGGCTATTATTCCCCACAAACTTTGCTTTTGTGACCAGTACTTTATGTGAAGGAATGACACAAATGCACACCACGTTTTCTCATTGAAAATGGTAAATTTCAAAATATCACTGTCCTGGTCACAAAAGCAGAGTTTGTGGGGAATAATAGCCATTATCTGTACTTTTGAGGCATAAGCCATTAGGAAATAACACTTACTACCCAGGAACAAAAAATAACTACATTTGTTACACAGTGTTATTAATGGAATGGATTATTAACTTTGCTTTTGTGTCCTGGTCACAAAAGAAAAGTTCGTGGGGAATAATAATAGCCATTTTCTGTACTTTGAGGCATAAGCAATTTGAAAATAACACTGACTATCCAGGAGCATTTTTTTTCTTACACAGTGAATTATATTATTAGTGCTGTAGTAATGTGGCTTGACCACCTACATGTGAAATTGTACTTGTTGCTCTGCGTCTACATCAGCCGTACGGAATAAGAAAAAGTACCGTAGTAACATCCTGCAATGCTTTATTTACCTAAGAAAGCATGAACAAAGTCTCAAAACCATCATTGTATCCCACCTCTAAGCACTACCCACTACCGCCTGACAACAAATCATATCCAGGGATAGGGAACTTACATCCGATGAGGCCCACGACTTTGTTTCACACATCCCGTGGCTGCATGAGACCTACCCCTTTAAAACGGCCAGCAAACAATATTTAAACAATATAAATCATATTCATCCATCACTACTGCAAGCATTTTAGCCACACTAATCGGTTACGAGAAGGGAAATCTTTTCCAAAATGACAAAAACTGTTAATAAATTCAGTGCGCCCAATCACTTCTGTCACTGCAAGGGCGACGTAAATTATAGAGGTCCCTGTTAATGTGGTTACCCACCAAAAGTATTTCAAAGTCCATTTTGGCCCTCAGTAAGAGAAAGGTTCCACACTCTTTTCACAACAGTCGAACAAGTCTAAACCCAGTAAAGTATATTTGTTTCAGGGTTCGGTTTGAGTTGTATGGGGTCTGGGGTTGTTTCAGTTTGGGGGGGGGGGGCTCTGTATATTAAATGCCTTCCCTTTTACTGTATTACCACCACCCAAAACACTCCATTGTTATTTACATTGGTTATTTTAAATTTGATATCCAAATTGCAAAACTGGCAGTAACACACAAGGAAATGCTGTGTTTTTAATAACTAAATTACTGCACCTATATGATGTACCATTGTGCTACAGTATTGTTTCAAGCAATATGAAGCCCGCATGTTTTTTTCAGGGCAGGGGGCTCAAAATCCAGAGCCTCGGGCTGCAGCCTCTGGGGCCTCCGTGTTAATCTGGCCCTGGGCGTATGTCGGTTACGGTACCCCCAGCTGTGTGACTGCGTCCACAAGTGTCCTATCCCGGCTACGCACGTACCAGAGGTCGCAACCGGGTACTCGGTACCGGTACCCTACCCGATACCCGGCCGGGTACGGGTACCCGTTTGCGACCCTGGTGCGGCCGGGTACGGGTAAGGAATCAAAACCCGTTTGCGACCTCTGGCACGTACTGCCCTGTTCCCACGTGCAGGGACAGCATCGGGCCCCGTGGAGCCACCATGGAAAGTCGAGGGCCCAGGTGACCCACCTCACCCAGGAGGCCCCGAGGACTGAGGTGCTTGGAAGCAAGAGTGGCGATGGGGGAAGAAGAGACGGGGACATCAGGGCCCCACCTCTGCCCTTTCCCTCGCCCGTCGTCGTCGTCATCAGCAGCCATGATCAATCCACTGCTGGATGAAGGCCTCCGTCGCCCCGTGCCTCTTGTAAACCCACACGGGCATTCTCCCATCGTCGCCGGGAGTCGATCGCGCTAACGGCAATGTTAAAAGTAACGGCTGGGTAAACCTTTTTAAACCGTTAATCGAAAGCACAGGGTAAATTTCTTAAGATGTTTTTTCTCGTCGTGGAAGGTGTAAATAATAAGATAATGTACCACAAATCAAGTGATCCAGAGCAAGTATTGACGAGCGGCTCGTGGAGATGAACAAATGGAGCAGAAAATGTCTTCTGTGCTGATTTATAGACTGAAACTTTGTTCCTCATTCAAAGGCAGCTGTTCATTTAAAGAGTGAATCACCAATACAATTAACTCGAATGTCCTCTTTGTGCCCATTATTAGCTGCTCCTCTCTTGAGGGTCAGTGTCTCAATGCCCACGTGTCAGCAAACAACCCAAGCAATCAGAGAACAATTCCCCAATAAAAATAGAACATATTACCCAGTCTTCACCCCCATTCCATGTAGGTAAATAAAACATCTTTGTATAGCCACATTTACATGTTTTCAATTGTATTTTCTTTATGTGTCATACCACCCCCACCCCCCATTACTCTGGATAACCACGAGTTACTAGTCATTTAAGACCGGGTTAAATATAAAGCTTGCTTCTTTCACCAACTCGTAAAACCCCCCACACATTTTAGAATTTCTTCTGGAGAAATGACAGCTCTCTCAGAGGCGTTAGCATTTGTGAAAGAGAGCTCTAAGGAACGGTCGGTCAATCGTTGGTGTTGTTTGGGGTGCGGTGTGGAGTGAACGCCCAGTGTCTTAATGTTCACCGTAGTCATTAACGTTATTGGTATTATATAACTAGTATTGTTACTATTATATCAGCCGTATGCGGAGCTCGGGCCAGTTTCAAGTGATTTGTATCGAGGCTTTGTCCGTCGTACCGTATGTTTACAGTGTCACGAGCGTGTCGTAATGTATGTACGTGTACACATATATAAATACAAACGTTATTGTAACATGGATTTTATATTAAACACCTTCTGCCATGTCTTGCTCACGGAGCATGCTTTAAAAGATGTCACCTTTTGATTTGCATTTCCTATATGCTTTATTAAAGTTTTAAATTAAAGTAGACAATTACAAAATAATACAGCTCACGACAAAACCTCACGTAAGTGCATAATATAAAATTACAAAGGGTGTATTGACACCATTGCTGTTTCCATGATTGAACATTTATACCCAAAAAGCGGTGGTGTGCTCTTGCACGTCAACAGCCAGTGTTCATTTGTAAATATCCGTCAAATATAAAAAAAAACATGCACATGATACACGTTTTCCTTCCACAAGGCAAATAGTCAAATTTCGCATGCACAACTTTAACTGTGATCGAATGGTGTTTAAGTGGTTAGAGCACCGCGCGATAAACTCTCGTGAATCAAGTTTGACATTTGCAAGCGATATCTCAACCAGTTCTAAGCCCCCACCCCCCACTCCACCACACTGACCAGCGTGAAGTGTGGTCAAACAACCCCCATGACCGACACAGCATTGGAAGGGCCTTCCCCTCCAGCAACGGATCAACAAGGGGCTGCGATTTATAACTTGAACATCGCTTGACGCTTGTGGTGCATGGGGAGAAATGTTTTGATGGAGACTGGGATGTTATAGGTTGACTCTGCTTGTGGGATCGGGTGACTGCACTCTAAGTTACACATTGCAGTCACCCCTCTGTTCAACTAAGCGCAACTGTGCAATCACACTGCAGACACCTGATGGTGTATTGTGTTAAAAAAAAACATACAAAACATGCATGTTAGCAAAGATATGCGTTTACAAGAATGTAACATGTTCACTCAGAAATACCTGGGTCTTTAACACCATTTTTCAGGAAGGTGCAGCTTCAGATAAGGCCAATTAAATTGAATATTTTTTTGAAAAATACCTTTTTTGGTGGGTTTTTTTTGGGTATATCAGAAAAATTGTCCAACATATACAGCAAAAAGTGCTCACGTGAAAATAATGACAATAACACAAAAACTGCGACCGAGGCATTTAACAATAGAAAAATGACATTTAAACTATGCCAAAACGCACTACAAAAACTCTACTGGAGTGAATTACAAATCCTCATCATCATGACCAGTGATGAGCTTCATTCCCCATTGTAACACCAACTTTTTCTTTCTCTTTTACTGTGTGGGTGTCCAGAGCCGGTAGATAAATCAACTGGCATGATAAATATTCAAGTGCCCACTGTCAGGAGGCACTGGAGTTAAAAGGAAGGAGTCCGGGTTGGCTGATGCAGTTACATTCGCACCAATACAGCAGTCGGTGCAATTGCCATGAATGCAACCAGCCAATTTAGCAAAAGAAGCAAATTAACGACAATGGAATGTTTAACACGGAGGCTTTCGCACCCAATATCATCCATGATATAGGTTTTTTTGGATTATATTGCGTAAATATAAATGTGTCATTGAATCGAAGTATTTCTCCGCAAATCTGGCTGTCGCCTGATGAAGCTAGTTGTAATTACTGGCGAAATGTCGTACTCAGATTGTAAATGTTGTGGATTGGCATGTTCTGTTTACATGACAAACCTTACTAATTGGCTGTGTCGGGTGGTGGCGGGTTTAACGACACATTTATATTTGCGCAATCTAACCCAAATAAAAAAAATGATGGACAATGGAATGATTTAAATGGCTTGGCAGTAGTTATGCAGGCCACCCCAATTCAAGAGAATATATTACCTGCAGCATTGGAATTATTTTATATAAAAATAAACAAGCGCTCTAGGTTTCAGCAGATCACAGCTCGCGGACTAATGAAGCCACCCCCAAGTTAACTATGACAATCACCCTCTTATCATTAGGTCAAAAATTATAACTAATGCAACAGTATTTACCAGGCATGTAACGATGCATCAATTCACCGAATGGCATGCCGATACATGCATCGAACCATGAGTGTAATTTTTTTTTGCAATTCACTCATGTGAACCCTGCAGCCACTAGAGTCTTTACAAGAGGAAATGTTTAACCATTTATTATTTTTTAAATTTAATATACACTAAGGAAGCCAGTAAAACGGTCCAAGCGGGACAGAAAACATAATAAACAAAAGAAACGAGATGGTAAAAATAAGACAAGAATTGATGTCTATCCGATTCATGAACCAAAATTATGTTGCAACCAAAGATTGCTAGGTATATTAGTTGGGGAGGGGCGTTTAATCATTACATGCCGAGTAATAATACCGCACCGGACACTCTCCCATCTACCAGCACCACTCTTCCTCAGTCCTTTTTCTTATCATCGTCATCGTCATCGTCGTCATCTTCGTCATCGTCGACTTCCTGCTTGCGCAGCACGTACATGTAGTATGCGACGCCTCGAAACTCTCCCAGCTCGCGGGCCGTCACGGCCACGCGGCCTGGCCCCCCGCCGGCCACCACCGCCGCCTCCTCCAGCCAGGGGCAGCGCGCGTCGGGGTCTTCGTCCGAGAACTGCAGCAGGGCGCCGCAGCCGGGCCGCAAGAGACGCAGCCCCTCGGCGAGCAGCCGGCGCGCCGCTCGCCCCCCGTCGTTGGCGCGGATTGCCGCGTCCACCGTGCCCTTGTCCAGCACGAGGCCGAAGGTGCCGTCCTCAAAGCCCGGAAGACCGCCGAGGCGTGCCGCGTCGGCCAGCACGAAGCGCAGCGTGGAGGCCGGGTGTCCCGGCGCCGGCGGGTGCTCGCGCCACTGGCGTTCCATCAGCTCCACGGCGACGGGCGAGAAGTCGACGCAGTTCACGTGCACGGGCAGGCGCGAGGCGCGGTAGAGCGACGCGCCAAAGTCCGACGTGCCGCAGCCCACGTCCAACACGTGGCACACTCCGTCGCGGGCCCCGCCGCGCACGAACGGCACCAGCTGCTCCGAGACGGCGTGGTAGCCGAAGAACCAGTCGAAGTGGCGGAAGTCGCCGGCGCGCTTCTCCGTGTAGAAGCGGTCCCAGGTGGACGGGAGCGCCATACCTTCACGGAGGTCGACTGCTGGTGGGGAGTGAGTGGGAGAACGGGGCGGGGGGGGGCACAGGTGGATATCAAGGTGCTGTGGTAGAAGGGGAGATTGTGATCCCATGCAGCTGATGGCGATAAAAGAAACATGCAAACTACCAATTACTTGTTGGGGTAAAATGTTCCTAAGGGCCGAATAAGACTTTTAAATACCTTTTGCGGGCCACACATTAACAAAGACCTCAGTCAAACTTGTTAAAAAAAATAAGTCCTAGTACCCAATTAGTGTAGCTCAGATGCTTACAGTGATCATTAAATCAAATGGCTGCGGCCGCAAGATATAACATGACAGGTCGTATCCTCACCTGTTCTAAATATACTTCTGGGCTGTACAACATAATTTTCAAGGTTTGTTAATAATAAAAAAAATTACTTAAAAGTTTCATCCGTGCAGCCATAGTGCGCAACAGTGGTGTCGCCACCGTGCAACCAACAATGGAGGGCAATTAAGTATTTAAATGTACGAGAGTAGAGTCATGTCCTTTATAAAGGTGAGCACAACGAAAACTTTAAATTATATATATTTTTACGGACAAAGTTTCAAACTCTTGTTGGACTCCCCCGGATGCTGCCTAGGAATTTATTAACTAAACATTGTTTGAGTTGCATCTTCCTTCAACCGGGGAACTGTATCGCGATGGTTAGTGAACTGCACTATGAACCTCGTCACCCGAGTTTGAATCCCGGCCACGGCTAAGATCAGTAGTGATCATCCGAATCGGTGCTGGCAGCCACTACTCATAGCCTCACTTACCAGCATAAAGTACAAACTACCATCATGGCCGAAAAAGCTTGGGGAGGCCTCATCCAGCAGTGGATAAAAGGTTGATTCTCATAATTTTTTCATTAGACCTTAAGCCGTGATCATGAGTCAGTGGATGATATTCATTCAAATTAAATCTTGACCAAAATGAAAGCATGATTCAGCAGATAACAGATTTTGGATAAAGTCTCGAATAGCAACTCAACTTTACACAAAAATTGTGTCTATAATGGACCATCTTTACAAGAGGTATGTGCACTACATTCCCACTCACCCCCTAGCCCACAATTACGGAATGAATTTCACTTAAAAAAACGCTAATAAACTCCGATGCCATCACACATACTCACATGTGACAACCTGGTATATATCCATGAGGTTTTTTTTATCATGTAAATATATAAATGTGTCGTTAAAACCCGCCACCACACGGCACAGCCAACTAGTAAGGGTTGTCACGTAAACAGAACGTGGCCAATTCGTCACTAGTCCAGCACGCCGGTGTGTTGGAGAGCCAAGTCACACCATTTACAATCGGAGTACAACGTTTGTGTATTATGGATATAGGTCGCGAAAGCCTACGTGTCAAATGCTATATATAGCTTACATCCTTGCATGTATAATTGTGTATGGCGTTACTATGACCGACCGACAGATATATTAAGTATGTTGACAATCGCGAAATTTGATCGTAAACATGACTGCCAAATAAATTGGAATAAAAAAGTACAGAAAAGCAAGCGTGGAATTACGGTGAAACAGAAAGAGGGACACGCTAATCCGAGAAACACAAATTGGAGAGACTATTTATTTAAAAAAAGGAGAGTTAGTTTGCTCACAACACATCGTTAGGAAGGTTGCCGGCTCACGGGCAAGACTGGTGCCCAAATGACAGCAGAAAGGAGGGAGCAGGACACAGAGAGAGAGAGATCGCATCGCGTCAAGCGTAGGTGGGATTGTAGGCACAGCACGAAGGGCCATTGCCCGAAACGTCACCGAACAACGTTGTTGACTACCGAGGCTATATGCGGGGAAAAGGGGGGATAATATTTCTCTCTCTGGCGGTAACAGTGAAACCCGATCCGCACACGCGTCAACACGCACGGGACATGTGCTTCTCCCTGCTGGGCTGCGCGCCGCACCAAACGATCGCCCTCGCCAGCCCGGCGCGTCTCATCACGCGGCTCAGCAGCATCTAAACAAACACACGCACGCACATAAAGAATAATTGACCCTTAAAATTGGCGACGACGATGACAACGTTGTAAGAGCGACGAGCCGAGCTCACGCAATACGCACCATGTGCAAGGTGTGGTGGCTGGGGCACGTTGTGGTACAGCCGGAACCGGAAATCGATCAGACACGTGATGTATGCCCCGCCCCCTCCCATGCTCCTCCCCCACCCCGCATGCCCCGCCCCGCCCCCCCATGCTCTCCCCCCACCCCGCATGCCCCGCCCCGCCCCCCCATGCTCCCCCCCACCCCGCATGCCCCGCCCATCTTATGCTCCCCCCCACCCCGCATGCCCCGCATGCTCCGCCCACCTCATGCCCCGCCCACCTCATGCCCCGCCCACCCGATGCCCCGCCCACCCCATGCTCCCCCCCCCCACCCCGCATGTTCCCCCCACCCTTCTCACACGCGCACGCGCCAATAATATGGCGGGAAACCGATAAGACCCGGAAGCCATCCCGTAAGCAAATCGTCCGGAGGAAATGGAAACGCTGCTTCTGTCAATCAACACCGCCCGGAACAAAAATGTGGCGCCCCCCTCGACCGATTGTTGATTCCGGTTGTCAAAAAGCGACGGGGCGATCATCGCGGGGCGGATTGCGCGTCCCCCTCGCAGCGCCTGACGATTGTTGTCACAGTAATAATGTTTACGTTGTTAACGTTTTAAAGTTCATCCGAGGGCCAACCTGCTCGGATCTTGAGACGGGTGAGGGGGCTGTGGGCACACGAGACGATTTTGCCAGGCGGTCGGTGGGGTGACCGTGGTATCATTTGTAATTGGAGTTGATAATGTAATGTATTGGGGCCGGTTCGGACTGTGAACACGTTTCTTGGGTTTTTTCGGTAAAGTCACGTAGGTGAAAATAAAAATAATATTTAAAATAATAAAATAATAGAAATAATAATAGAAATAAAATAGAAATAATAATAGAAATGAAATAATAATTCGCGACGTTTCGGAGGCAACACAAGTCTCCGTCATCAGGTGGGACCGTCACAGCTAGATTTACCGTATCAAGTGAGAAAAAAATCTAAGAGACAAGCTCTTAAATACAAGTTAAAGTCACCTACGTGACTTTACCGAAAAAAACCTAAGAGTATGAATCCTTGCAGTCACGAAAGCTTCAAATCTAGAATCAAAACTAAGGTGTTTGTGTTGAACATTTGATGTATCGTATGCGGTTGTAATTGTCACGTAATGTGTCATTTTAAATGTTTTGCGGGGATAGTTGGCAGCAGAGTGGAACGTGCACAGGAGCTAACCAACCCCGTGGTACGGACGGCTTGGTTTAGTAAAGGTTTATCTACCTAATGGAGTAAAGGTTTATCTACCTAATGGAGGAGGCATTTAACTCGCTGGAAATTGATGCATTTATCCCAGCTCTCACAAACCGAGGCACACACAAACAATGTATTTAGAAGTAATTAAAATAACGTTTGCAAAAACGATACAGCCACGCTAAATGTTGAATCAATTAAGTACCAAAATACATATCAAGGGGAGAGGCACGTAGCGTTATAACACGTAGCTCTGGCCAAAGGTATTCACAACAACATTGCAAGATGTTATCCTAAAATTGGAGTGGTTCAATTCTATTTTAAAATGTTACTGGAGAAACTGTTATGGACCCACACAATGTTGGAATTGAAAGATGTGGACCAGAGCAGGGTGAAATGCCTTTGGGAAAAAAAACAATTCAAATTGCAGTGTTAATATAATTAACTTAAAATAATATGTAAACGTAAAACATGTTTTTGTGTTGATCATTAACACCGACTGCACTGCTGTCCGCAAGGTCTGAAAGGATACTTAATCTTGTGACCTTTAAAATTTTGTGAAAAAACTACAAAACACATTTTTTTAAAGGCCTTATATTTTCTTATTTGCGTTTGTGGTCGGCGATTTATACAGTAATTAGGCTGCATATGCGCGTGCTGTTTACAATACATTTAATGTCCTTTTGTAATAAGAGGTTTTGTTTGTACGAGTGTGCGTGATTTGTACGCTATATCGTGTGCTATTTATTGGGTTTTCTGTAACGTGTTTGGAATTATATTTACCACGAGGGCTTGCTATGAAATATACCCACTACTATGGCCTATGTTGTCATTTGAACGGGTGTTTCTGCGTTTCAATTACACATCATTGCTGTGCGACTCACATGGTGGGTTAATAGTGTTTGCAATACAAAAAAAGCAATAGGAGTGGAAATATAATTTATATCAGGACGTTTTCCTCGCTGAATGTTTTCCGGGTCCGTGGTGCAATTCAGTAGGCATGTGGCTGCTAACCGCATCCATGCGCAGAATCGATGTGGTGTGCCGGGAGCCCTGATGTGTAGTTGTCCATAAAGAGTGGAGGCGTATATGCAGTGTCACAGTGGTTAACGTGCTGTACTGTGAACTCGTCAACAATAATTCGATTCCTGACCCCCACCAACCTGCACTGACCAGTCTGGGGAAGTATGGCCAAAATCCCACGAGACTGTCATAATGTGGGGGGGGGATGCCTTAATCCAGTAGTGGATTGAGTAATTATTGTTCATTGCAACAATTACTTCAAAATTAGGTAAATATCTAGAACGTTTGTAATTTGAGTGGGTTTGTAGCTGTTACTATATACTGGTGCTGAATTAATCTATGAAACTTTGTTTTGACGGATTGTTGGTGCGGTAATACATTATAACTGACAAATAGCTGTATGAAAGCAGACTAGGGCCCGTGTCACCACCAACACATTGTATTGGCCCCAAAGGTGTTCAAGATTCTGTGGAGGGGGCTCTTGCCTTGCCTTGAACACCAGGAAAATCAACAGAATTTGTTTAACGGGCTCCACTGCTGATGAGGGCTTTAGAGAAGTCGAAATCGGTACAGGAGTTGTTTTTTTTTGCTTGACCAATGCTGCTGTAAAACATGGATCCAGAAGGCCCATTGCTGGATGGACATACACTTTACGTTATTTAAGGGTGGTGAAATGATGGAAATGTACACGTGTACAGTGTTAGTATGTGACGATTGACCTCTGTACATCTGTCGATATGCTGAAGTTCAAGTGCTAGTCGTGTTAATAGAGCTTGCGACATACTATACAGTTTCATTTAAACAAGATAAATACGAGTAAAACAGAAGTTTGCTTAAGCATCGAAGATATTTGTTGAAGAGATACAACTGGAAAACACTGCAGGGGTATACCTTGGGCAGTTATTAAAGGCAGAGCGGAATTTAAATTATATAACGAGAAGATGCCAACCCTGTTGGTGGAGTCCTTGTGAAAAACTGAAAAGCAACACATACCAAGTGGCAACACTGACTATGTTTAATCCGTGTGTAGTACGTGCTCTGACATGGATCAGAAACATTGATATTGACAAATAAAATAGAACAAAATAGGCGAAGTGCATGCTTGCAGTTGCACTAAAAGATGGAAAGAGGAACACATGGATCGATGGACAAGCATAAGCCGGAGACATCATATGCAAGTACCATACCCATCGTAGGAATGTGGAATTACACACAACGGGCTGAGGAATCGGAAATGAGTGCCACCCAATGTTTGTTTTAAGCAGGCAACCATTTTCATTTGACAGCTCGTTGATACCAGAAGGCTCTGAATCGTGACAGCTCCGGTTGCATTAAAGACCCGAGGCTTGAAACCAAATCGCTAGGAATGAGCTCATTGTCATCAGAGCTCAAAAGCACAGCAGGTTTTAGCCTGTATAGTGCCTGGATTAGGTGGGTTGCATAGTTGACCGCCACGTGCAATAGGTTGTCATAGGCGTCTCGGGGCAGTGCTCTGCTCGAGGCACCAAAGAAGGCAGTACAGCAAGATGCATTGTTGTACTGTACTTCGATGTTCTTATATAAATGATCCCCTCCACGAACTAACCCGCACTGACCAGAATGGGGAAGTATGGTCAAATCGCCCCCACGGTTTGGGGGAGAGAGATCCTCGCGCAGCAGTGGCTTAACAAAAATGGCTGTAGATGTACAACGTCTTCGGTGGAATTCCACTTGACTTTGGTGTGAAGACAATTACTTAAGGTAGTTTGTGCAATCAGCTACTGGTGTGTAGTGTGGGGGGAGGTGGGGGGGGGCCGTGGCGTCCGCCCATGGCCACAAGCCCCTCTAATCTCGGTGAGCAAATGAAGCAGCTGTCGAATGCAGCTCTTTCTATTAATGGTGGAAGGACTAAATTTGGACTGCTGAGCCGATTGCGAGTTAATCTGAGGGCCTCTGCTCTGATTGCCAGGTGGTTGTATAATTCTCGCTTGGGTTTTTTTCTATCAGGTCAGAGGTGTGCTGGAGTTGTGGTTTGCTTACTATAGAATAGTGCAGAAGCGTTGCAAAGTGGGATGTGTGGAACAAGTGCGGATTGTATAACAGCACAACGCCCAGACATGAGATCCTGAGTTCACATCTTCATACAGTGTCCGCTCATCATTGGCAGCAGCAGCTTAATACCCATCATCTTCATCATAACCATGCATTGTTATATATCATAATTGTCATCAATAGAGTATGAATCATGAATCATTATCTCTCCAGTGTGTGTATAATGAGCACCACCTGGTGAGACTGCGTTGCTCGGTGGAAGTAAGTTGACTGTTGCGAGTAATTTAATGTAACTTGGCCCTACCATAGGAATATAGAATTTCACATTGTATATCATGCCTGTAATAATCGTGATATAGTAACTATTAACAATAATTATAGCGCACACTACAGTGCTCTCATATGATGGACAACTTTTGATCTCACGTTTGCCTTCATTGTGCCAAGATTTGTACACAGACACGGAGAAGAGCCGAGCGATTGAGCGGCAGAGTGAATGGGAGGTCAGGAGATTGTACAACCAAGTAAGACGCGGAGTGGACGAGTGTTTCAGAGAGTGGACAAGTCGACAAGGCACAGAGTAGAGGAGTGACCAACAACAAGGGGAGTGGTGGACGGCAGAGGGGGCCGCCATGCAGGTGTCACTGGGCGGCATGTACTTTGCCATCATGCTCTTCCTGGGCAGCTTCCTGGGTAGCGTGTTCATGCTGGGACCCTTCCTGCCTCTGCTGCTCGTCAACCCGCCCTGGTACCGCTGGCTCACCGACCGCATCGTTGCCACCTGGCTAACGCTACCCGTGGTAAGGCCTCCCCTCTTCATCGCCTCCTCACCTGCGTGTCCATTTACTCGCTGCTGATGATGGCGATACCGCTGCTGCTGCTGCTGCTCATGATTAAAATTGGTAATCCACAGCCCGTTTGGATGAAGGCCTTCCCGTGCCCTGTCGCTCATATGGGTTGTTTGACCACGTTGGTTAGCGCGGTTTGATGAAGTGAGGGCTCAGGTCCGGGTTGGATATTGCTCGACGCTGATGTATGCTGTGGCCAGGAATGGAATTCAGGTCACTGGGTTCATAGCGCAGTGCACTAAGCCATGTGCCACCACTCCACTCTACCTGCCCATGATCATTAAGCATGCAATGTTCAATCCCCTATGTGATTTCATGAAGTCTCACAATTTTGGGTCAAGCTTTGATTTAAGAAACATTTTTTCTACTGTTTCATCTGTATTGTTTGCCTCGTTCTGACTTTGGTCCATTTCATTCACTCCGTTAGCCTAAAGGTAATATTTGTAAGTAATCGTAAATAATTTAATCAAACGTTACATGCATGATTGAACAAATTCATTGTAACCTGCCTCATGATGATAATGCTGCTGCTGCTGATAATTTGGACGATGATTATAATAATGTTGCTCCTGCTACTGCCGTTGTTGATGCTGCTGCCACATTGTCAGCAGGGCGCAGGGCTGCAAACTCTATTATACTGTACTATGTGCCAACATCTATGCTCTCCATCTTCACCAAACCGCACTATCTGGCATGGTGTAGTTTGGATAAATAACCCCCATAACCTGCACGTGTTGGGAGGCTCTGATTCAGCAGGGGATTTACAAAGTGCTGTACGTGTAAATGTCTTATAATCATTCTAGCAAGTGTGGCCTTGGGTATTTGTATAAGTATTGTGCTGCACCAACAATCCAAACCACTGTTAAGTGACAGCATTTTTACTCGTATGGTTGATGTTTTCCAGTCGCAGTTTTCAATTAACTACTCTGATCAGCAAGGTGAATAGGTCAGGTAAATCAAACCGAGTGGGGTCTAACAGCTGTGTAGCTCTTTACTGGATTTTCAAGTTTTGGACAATACAGTCATGTCGAACCCCCAAGTACTTTAAGTTACTTTAGTCTGGCTCTATGAGCCTCAACCGTTAACACTGAACTCCAAAAATGGAAAGGTGCCTCAGTCGGGCTATTTATGTTATTTCATCGATTGGTGTGCATATGCAGTGTATCTACAGGGGCTGCTTGTGTTTAGAGGTTGTTTGTGTCCGCCGGACATTTTGACATTACAACATCCTGTGTGCCATTTATATTCTTGTGACATGCATCGTGATAATTTTAGTTTCCTTTCAATAATAGGAAGTGACGTCGCTTTCATGGCGACACTTCTGTTCCATGTTTTTTCCGCCAAAAAGTAAAATCGTGTGATATTACTTTTGTCAGCACGGAAACATATTACATTATTACATCGAATAAATTATTCAAAAATGTTAAAAAGATTAATTGTTTTCTTAAAAATCCAATATGCCTGAAGGGGAACATTTTTAAACCCTGCATACTTCTAGCAGTAACATGAGGATCATAAATACAGACAATGACAAAGAGAATGGAACAAAGCTGAGAATGGATCCACTCAGGATGGCCTGGGGCGTTTCTCCTATTTTTAGAATATTCCATAAGTTGCTTCAGTTTTGCCACTGTTGGTGGAAGGCCCTCCAATAGAGGGAGCTGTATGAAGGCCCTCTCAGGATGTTTGTCCTACTTTTTCCCAAAGAGGCGAGAGTGCTCACACTTTAATCCACCACACGTGACCTGCTGGTCGACCATCTGTGGCGATGCCCATTACATACTGCCGGGTGCCGTACCGGGAGATCACATCGGGGAGCCTCTTGATTGCAAGTCCAGTATGCTAACCATTACACCATGGAATTATCTGAATAAACATGATTACATTGAAACAATTATGGTTGCCCTGGCTGTGCCGACCATGTGCCCAACGCAGGCGCTGCTGGAGTTGGTGTTCGGCGTCAAGGTGGTGGTGACGGGCGACGGTTTCCGCCCAGGCGAGCGCAGCGTCATCATCATGAACCACCGCACGCGCCTCGACTGGATGTTCCTGTGGAACTGCCTCCTCCGCTCCAGCTACCTGCGTCTCGAGAAGATCTGCCTCAAGTCGACGCTCAAGCACGTGCCGGGCTTCGGTGAGTCCTGGAGAGAGCGAGTGCCGCCACCACCGCCGCTGGGAAATCAATTAATTACAGAAGTGCTTTCCCACCAACGTGATTTATACCTACGTGACTTTCCAGAAAGAACCAAAGAGTATAGAAGTGGAATGATTCGTCGATTTGATCATCATCAGCCATAATCAATCCGCTGCTGGACAAAGGCCTCCCCAATCTATCACCATCACTCATGATCCCACGATGCAACAATATACCAAGCACCTGCACACACGAGGTGATTTCATCACTCCATTTCCTCAATCTATGTCATCTTTGGCACATTTCCTTCCTTCAGCTGCCACTGCTATTATTCTTGATGACCAGCTATATTTCCTTGCAGAGACGTGTCCTACCCAAAGCCCACTTATGTTTATTAACAGTGTGATATGCCTGATATGTTCTGTAGTCTAGGCATTACTCTTTCTGTCTCACAATGTCCTGTATTACATCTCCGATTAACACGGTTGGTTACGTATAGTGTGAAAGAAGTTAAACATGCATGTATACGTATTGTAAAAAGTTAAATACATTAGTGTTCCATCAATGGAAGATTGTGCACAAACACCAAAAACCACATAGGTCAACACTGCCTTTCAGGAATAAATGCAAATAAATAATAGATGTCATTTTGGAAAATGGCCCTTTTTCATAGCATGTGCTGTATAATGTATTATTACTACGGCTTTGTCTGTTACTCAATGGCTACTATTAGGTAACTATTCACATGCCTGTTTGAAAAATGGTGATCAGAAAATATTTTTTGTATAAAGTGCAGTTTCCAACCCTTATTAACTCTCTGGTTCTGAAGAAGAGCCTTAACTTGAAATGTCACCTATTGTACGCTTATTTTTTAAGTCATTGTTATTGATGAATACGTTTTTCATATGTAAATATTACCTTTTAGGCTAAAGCAATTCATGAAACTGAACACCAAATTAGACAATACAAACAATAAAATACACACCAGACAAAAACAAAAGCATTCCTCTATGTAATCAGGATCCTGAATCATGGCACTTGATCGAATCATGGTGGTTTCACTCGTTCCATACCTCGTAAACTACACACGGTCACACCTGCTTTTGCGAATCTAACGTTGATCACAAAAGATACCAAATGAACGACTGATTGCTCATCCGACCATCCCAGATTCAAACGCAGAATCTCAGTCGTGGTGGCTGAGCACTCTGGGCCGAGCTGGGATCTACAACCCCCTGAGCCAATCGGTAACTCCAAGGTTATTCCTTTTTCTTTTGTATTCCTTTAAATGTGCTTGCCAACGAGAAGAGACAATTAGCGTGCACACGAAGTGGGGGGCAACGGGGGGGGGGGGGGGTGGTTGAGCTGCCCCCGTGTGCCGAGCTCGGTGGGGTTCATTGGGGCTCCTTCTCACTGCCCTCCGCGCTGCCCGCAATGACACGTGAAGATAAATCACGTCGGTTATTTTTATTCTTCGTCTCCTATTCTTACCCTGCTACCCCCCCCTCCCCCCACTGCCGCCGATCTCTCCTCCATCTCCCCACTCGTTTTTGGTTACGACGAAACCCCGTTTATTTCCGTAGATTTAACGCCTCGTTTTAGATCCACAAACAACAATGACTTACTTACCCTTGCAAAAACCAATCAAAATGTCATCGCGGAGGAAAATATTTTTTTTAATCGGCTTTATTTTATGAAGGAATTTATATTATGTATTTTTTTTTCTTGTTTTATTTTGGCAGCTGCTTGTTCAGAATATAATTTTAATAGAATATTTGGAACCACGTGTCCCCATTCTTTGTGTTACGTAACAGACCTTCACTCGAGTACCAAACTAAATTAATGCAACAATATGGCGACACACAATAGCAACATTTATTTCAATTATGTTTTTGTGCTGATTCTCCTAGTGCTCATTGTGTCTGCGAGTGCGCGGGGAGACCGGGGAGGAGGTCAGAATTTTTTTCAGAAGTCAGAATCTTTATCTATCTTGGAGAAATCCGATGAGCTATGAAGCTCTTTTTTACAGTCCAGTAGATCGCATGGTGAATGGAACCTGGTTTTGGCACGACCCTGCCCCCTTCGTCCATCCCCTCTCCTGTCCTGGAATTCACTATCTCACTCGCCCTGCTCAATCGTTCCTTCCCTGCTGCTGCCTCCTCGGTGTAGAACTTCCTCCACTTGGCTGACCATATTGCGGATTCGTTACTCATATTTGAGCCCAGGTTCAAGACCTTCCGCTTTTTCTCTGGCTACAAGCATCTCTGCCAAGTTTCTTCGTTCTTACAATTATCGCACTCCTCTGTGTGTGTTATTTCTGGTCAATCAAGTTAAGCCCACACAAAATAATGACAAGTAAAACAAAATCCTATATATGCATGGGTTAATGCTTTGTCCCTATATTTAATTTACACTATGGAAGCTGACGTGGAGCTTTAGGTAAAAACATTTGCATAGTTGCAAATATAACTTTTGGTTTTGTGTCTCGCAAGTTTTGGGCAATCCTTTGATCAGTTTGGCCACTATTCAATCGGGCAAGTCCCGAATAGAAACACATCCTACAGATTGGTTCATTTGTTTGAGAGTTTTTATTCCCCACTGCCCCATGACGGACAGACAGATGAACTGAGATAATGCATAAACAATTTTAACTTTGGTTGGAAAGCATTGAAAATAAACTACCCAAACACCTCAATGCAGGGCCCTCCTGAAAAGTATGATTAAGACTGTGATGCTTCGCTGGGTTCATACAATAGATTACAAGGAGGCAATTAACAGTTATTTAGTCAGTTGATTAAACGTTATCCTTGCACTCTTGATGGTGATATCACTGCCAAGCATATTAAAACACCATTTGTGTTGATGTAACAAGCTCTAATAGGATCAGACACGGTCCCGGGTGATTTGATTAACAGGCTTCCGGTAACAAATCCGTTTCGTCCCCCACACCTTCCGCGCCCCCGTGGTGCCGCTGTGCAATGTGGGTATGCTTAGGCTGGGCCATGCAGGTGGCGGCGTTTGTGTTTATTGCACGACGCTGGGAGCAGGATGAGCAGCACATTACGCGCCACCTCGACTACTTCACGGCCATCGACCAGCGCCTCCAGCTGCTCTTCTTCCCCGAGGGCACCGACCTGACCGGTGAGAAGTCCGTGCATGGACAATCGCGCGACAGAGGGGGGAGGGGGAGGGAGGGCATCATGATATCTTGATCCTCACACCGCCCTCACTCGGCAACTCTCTGGATTAAAATAATGTTTTGCACCCGCACGGTGCTTGCTTTCGGTGCCTCGGCAGCTCGAAGTGCATTGCATCACATCTCATCTCAAACATTCCAAGGGCGGGCACCCCCAGTCGCAGATGTTCCCTTTAAGCACAAGGTGACTCGGCAGCAGCCTGCATTTGGGCATTGGTCTGCCAGTAGGAGCGATTATTGCTGTGCGTAATCCCAATTGAGTAATTTGTTTATTATCATAATAAACGGTCACTTTGAATCCACCATCATTTAGTGCTTAACATTGTCGGGTTGTAGCACCGCTGCTGTTGGCTGCAGGGATCATGTGAAAAACACCATGCCAGTAATGAGGGTTGTTTGACCATACTTCACCATGCTGGTCAGGGCGGGTTGAAGGGTGGGGTGACATGCCAGTTGAGATATCATTCGTCGTGACCGGGAATCGAACTCTGTTCGCCGGTGTCAGACAGTGAGCTAACCAATGTGCTACTTCACCTCTCATACAAAATATACAAATCGAGAAACACTGAACCATACGCACGTGATTCAGAACCTCCAGCAGAGATGATTGCTCTAGCATACGTCTGGTTTGTGTAGACAGACTCTGAATGACATTTGACTTGACTTCGGGTTGGGGTCATTCAGGTCGGAGTGATGATGGAAGTATCATTTGATATCCCGTGTTATTTGTGTGACCTTGAACACTGTGTGTGTGCGTCACACACACACACGTCACGAGCAGACACTCCTGCCCACGACAGGTCTGATTGAAATTATTTTCTCAACAGCCAAAAATATGGAGGTCTGAGAATTAAAAGAAAATCAATTCGCCGCTTGGCGACTCTCTCGATGGGCGATTTGGCACGGGGCACGGAGTCAAGCGTGCCTAAGCTGTGTGACGCAAGCTGTCCCAACGTCCCCAAAAGTCGCCTTAAAAAAAATAAACGTAATACTCCGGCTCTCGAGATAATTAATTAATCAGTGTAGCTTTTGGAGCCCTGGCCGAGCCAATTAGGACCATGCCCTCAAACGCAAAAACATTCTACTGCCTGCCAACGTCGTTGAGATTGTGCGAAGTTGCTGGTGGTTGCGGTGACTTGTTTACGGTGGGTGTGGCAATCTGTCACGGTGGCTGCACCTTACTCCACACCCTCATATCCAACACAGCTTCGTAGATGTAGTTGTAGTCACAGTTACTGGCTGAGCGTGCCACGAATATTAAAATAAATCAAGGTTCATTTTCGGTGGTGGGAAGCGGAAATAACTAAATAAATTCCACCCCCAGTTGGAATTTAACCCATGTTCACATATCAAAGGCCCACACTCGTATATATTAGGCTGTCCATCAGGCTACAACCTGGGTGACCCTGTTTCAGTTCGTAATGCTCATCTTTAGAAGAGGGATAAGGCAACAATAACCCGATCTGTGAGGAAAAAAAATTTAATCGATAAGATGAGTGCGTTAAATTGCGCGCCGCTCTTTGTGTGGTCCGCGATGCGGTGTTGAGCTGTCAGTGCGTTTATTGTGGCCATCAATACGCGGGTCGGGGCATCTCGCAAGCTTCACAATGCAGCTTTGCCACCATTGTCATTTTCGTCATTGTGATGCTAAAGTGCCTCCGAGTGCATGAGACTCATTCCTGCTTCCACCACCCCCACCGCTTCCCTCTCCCGCTGTGTCCGTTTACTGTTCGCGCCTCGTGGACAACAAGACCCGTCTGTATTTCACTTTTATAATGGTCGTCCGACGTTTTGTGTGTTTTTGTTCGTTGTGTGCACACAGCGAACACTAAAGCACGAAGCGACGAATTTGCCGAGAAGAACGGCCTGCCCAAGTATGAGCACGTGCTCCATCCACGCACCACCGGCTTTACCCACATCGTACAGCGCCTACACTCAGGTATGCATGTATGTTGAACTTCTTCCGTACGTAGCTAATCGGCGGTGCGGGGGGGAAGGACAACAAACTAAACACAAAAAGCAGTTATAAAGAAGTGAGTTTTCAATTTAGATTTAAAAGTGCATAGCGTCAGTGGCTTCCTAAGATCGGAAGGAAGAGCGTTCCAGGCGGCCGCAGAAGAGCACCTGAAAGCGCACGATGCGATGCAGTGACCGTCTTTGTTAGATGATTAGCCAAAAGCTGCTGCGAGGATGACCGGCGTTCGCGCGATGGTTTATGCTCCTTGAACCACAATACCTTGCTGATGAGATCAGCAAGGTATTGTGGCAAGCACTTTGTGTGTAATGAGTGTGACCTCATAATGTATTCATCCGGCAACCGGAAGCCAATGTAGCTCCGTGAGCACTGGACCGACATGGTCAGATCTTGCTGGTGTGGGGATTAGGGGACGGGCAGTGCCACTCACAGGTGTGAGATGGTGATACAGCCTACCATGCATTTGTGTTTATGTGCTGCATAAATAGAAAATATTACATTGGAACATTTCAGAGACAATGTAAAGGTAATTACAGGCAAAGCTAATGTAATATAACATCAAATATCTTGGCCAATAGGGAGATAACGTTTTACAAACTATAGCCAACAGATTGAAATGCCGAGAGAAACAAAATTCGGAAACGGATGTCACCAGTTGTTGAAGGTGATCTGAGATCAACAAAAGCAACAGGGCAGATGAGAGTGGGCTGGGGTGCTTTTGGACAGCTGAACTTGATAATGAGAAGCAACCAAGCAATGTGCCTAGACAAAGTTTTTAATTGGTGCATGTTACCTGCGTATGACACGCATCGGAAACATTGGCAAAGAAAATAATATAATATTTTATTACTTCCCTTCTACGTGACTTTACCGAAAGAACCAAGAAGATGAATCCCTGCAGTCACGAAAGCTTTAAATCGAAAATTGGCAAAGAAAATGCAACAAAAAAGGGCACATGTCATGGGGATGATGCACGTTTGTAAATACATGTGAATCAGAGAACAAGCAGAAGTTCAGAGACGTTATATTAACTGTTGGTGGATGTGGACAGGACATACGATGCGAGAGGGGAATATGGCCATTGGGTGGAAATAACTACCGAGTGGCAGCCAAAGAAGGGAAAAGCGGCCAAGAGTTCGTCCACCGAGGAGATGGGGCCAAGATTTCAGTATATTGTTAGTGGCTGATGATAATTATAATGAATATTTCATATTTCCAAATTATAAACATGCATGCGTTGCATACAAGCGGTCTGCTTGAAGTGCGGTCGCCCTGCTTGAGAATAAATGATAGAAGAGTACAAATATATTTGGTACAATTTAACTTAACGGTTGTTTCTCTGCCTGCTGAAATGTCATGCTCTACACCACCGGCCGGCAACGCGCACACCATTAATGAGGAACATGTTATAGCATTGAAACCGGACGCATTAAAGTGGGGAAAAAATCCATATACTATTGACGAGCGGATGTATGTGCTTTTTTTTCTTTCATTTAAACAGGGTGTAATTGTTTAAGCTGAGTCTAATCGTAGGGTGGTGGTGGCTTTGATGTGTTTCTGTAATTCGGCACTCGGTGGAGTTGACGGATCACATTTTGATTTTGTACACTGGAAACCCACCTGCTGTAAACTGTATTTTCAGAAGGCAGTGCTGCTGTGACCAGCCTTTATGGATTTTTCAGAACTCACCCCTTATATCTGTTTTTTTTTTATTCGGGTATTCCAGTTTCCCACCACACTCAAAATACTTTATACGGTCCCAGCCAAACATCCCAAGCAGGACACTATTGATTAAGTATCCTCAGAGACAGCCGAAGCTTTTGGGGACAAAATAAATTATGATTGTTTTATTTTTTACGTCCCCCGCCAAGCTATATTCTATTCTATTTGCGCTCTCATCATCGCATCATGCTATTGAAATATTTACAAGCATCAAGGAGCGGCCCCGTAAGACAATACCGCTACTCACATTGTTGTCTAACGACTTGTGGATACTGTCTCCCTCTGCCTCTACCGGCCCTCCTCGTCCCCCCCCCTCTACCAGGTGGGAAGCTGGACTGTGTACACGACGTTACGGTCGCCTACCCTTGCAGCTTCCCGCAGAACGAGCTGCAGCTCCTCGCCGGCCGCTTCCCGCGCGAGATCCACTTCCACGTGCGGCGCCACCCGATCTCCACGCTGCCCCCCGACGCCGCTGGCCTGGCCGCGTGGTGCTGCGACCGCTGGCTCGACAAGGAGGCCATGCTGCACTCCTTCTATGAACGAGGCTCCTTCGTGGCGCCGGCGACTGAACCGTCGCCAACGACCGCCAGCTCAAATGGCGCCGTCGTTGCGGCCGCACACATGGAGCCACCGGTGCCGCAGTGCAAATCGGAGCTGCGCGTTCGTTGCGTGCAGTGGCTGTCGCTCGTTTGGTGGACGGTGTTCACGTGCGTTGCCGCACCGGCGCTCCTGTACAGCTCGGCGGTGGCGCGTGCATACTTTGTGGTGGCGTGCACGTTCTTCGCGCTGCAGGCGCGTGTCGCCGGCGGCCTTGAAAAGCTGGAGGTGGCGTGGTTCCCGCACTGGCAGCGGCTCAGTGGGTACGGGGCCGTCGCCAGTCGGGGCTCCTGAGAATTGTGGACTTGCGTAAATTTGCACGCCGCTGTTCACGATTCTTAGGCCTGAGCCCCTCCTCGTGCCCCAACTCATCCCTCTGATCGCTCAGTCCACGCTTGAAAGAGATTTACAGTGTAATATTTGTCAGAAAACTGGCAATGTCCACTGTTTTGTGCCAGTTAAAAAAATGATTCCCACTCATGATTCAGGTCCTGATGGTCTCTGAGCTCAATCAAAGTGATTTCCCATTTAAATGAGCGCACAGCGGCAATCGTCGCCAATATACAGCCCTGAGCCAGTCGCACAAATTCCACATTACTTAGGCCAGGACTGATCCAATCCATAGATCAATTACTCATACTTTTCCACAAAGTGGTACCACCGCTCCACCAAAACAATTATGTAACTTTAAATTTCCTTGGAACCTTCGACCTTGCTGCGCTGAACAGCACAGGGGGCGACGAAACTTTTCCCACACCTTCTGGTCTGCAGCCAGCTGAGCCACATCGTCCTATGTTACGCAACTGCTGTCAGAATGATACATTTCAAAGTGGAAAATGGTATTCTTTCATCCTCTGCCTGCATAAGCATTTCATTTTTAGGCCGTGCATTGTTTTTTTCCCAGTACATGAGGATGTTCATCAGCTTGGGGCGGGCGGTGGAGCGGTTAACAATTTCTCAATCGAAAATACCACTTTAAAAAAAAAACTAAATCGTCCGCCTTCAAATTAATGCTCACATCAACGGCAACACCACCAAAATGCAAAGCTTCATTAAAACTCGTTAATATTTTTCGATATAAAAAAACTCAGTAGCCATGCAATTTTTGCTCGTTTTAAAAACATCGCGGCATTTGTTTTTTTCATACGTGTTTTAAAAAAAGTTTAATTGATTGTTACCATGACGTCACCATGGATTCTTAAGGTAATCGTGTTAGTGATGTTATTTTATGCAATGTTTTACCGCCAGAACTACGTACATTCACCTTTTTGTCATCGTTCGGACATGTATTTTTTGTTGTCACCACCATCGCACTTATTTAAATGATTCTAAACGTTAGATACTCGAGGTGGCTGGGTGGTGCTAGGACAAACGCGCAACACACTGGAGCAAATGGTCTGACAACGTCTAGGATTCAGCCCCAAATCTGTTGAAGCAAAAACAAAAAAACTGTTCATGAATGGTAAAGGGCTCTTTGATGAATGTATAAGGAGGAGAGGAAAGCCCTTGCGTGTGTGGTGAGTTTCGCTCGTTTCAGTTGTCTCAGAATTTAGTGCAAGGAAAACACCTATTGCAATGTTTTATTTAAACTTAATTAGTGCTGAACACTTGATTTGATCGTGTTGTATAAGCTCAATTTTTTTACAGTAGATGCCCCCTAATCTGATTGTTTAGGTGCGAGGGATAAAAAAAAGAACTGTTACCAAGTTGGTAGCAGAGGCAACAAAAGGTTGTGAAATAAAACGAGGGCAAATGGTCATTGTTTACTGCAACAGTGTGTCATTGTATTTTATTGGGCCATAGAGCCCTGCAAAAAATATTTTCTTATATGACATAAATCATCTTAGTAGTTGCATTTATTTCACTGCTGTTCTGTGTCTTGGTCTCACATTTATAGACTTTTTCCGGTCTAATTGTAACGTGGTGTAGGAACACGTTTTCACCGAATCATAAGATTCCATTTGGCACGAGCTGTCCTGACGATGACGGGTTGGCAGTTCGTGACCAGGGCGCGTGCGGTGTGCACGGCGATTGTACACGAGTGGCGCGTACAGCTTGTTTTGTTTTTAAATTGCGACTTGTTATGCTAATGTGATGTTTTGTCTTCTGCCTTGACAAATATAAATATAAACACACGGCGCTGTCTTGTCAAACTTGCTTGCCCAATGAAATCAGAATACAGAACTAAACTTGTTCAAATCAAAAACGGCCTGCAACTCGTTCGAATAAGTTCAGTCACTTTGTTTTCCAATCCGGAAATTGTTTCTCTTCAAACAGACCCAAATGGCATAATGTGCTGTGATTTAAATGCAGTTTTGACAGTGGAGCACTGATTATCATTTATTATAACTTTCTGTGATTGGATGGAATCTGTCCTGTAGATTATTTTGACAAGTTAAAATCGAAAGGCTATATATCCTAAAATAGGAAAGATATACAAGAAGGAAATATCCTATTTTCATTTGTCCAAATAATGACGGATTCCATCTAATCACCGTTATAATGATCAATACTCCACTCTAAAAACGGCCTTTAAATCACAGCACACAACGTCATTAGGGGGCTGTAGGAAGAGCGACGGGTTCCGGTTTATATATTTTCCTTCCCATTGCATGTCCAAGGAACTTATTCAAATTTGACTTATAAACTTGAATTGAAGCTTTCGTGACTGCAGGAATTACTCTGGTTCTTTCGGTGAAGTCACGTAGAAATAAAATAAAATACTAGAATACGACGTTTCGATTGCAACACAAGCAACCGTCATCACTGGCATGTTCTGTTTACGTGACAACCCTTACTACTTGGCTGTTTACGCGATCTAACCCCAAAAAGCCCGTTATGGATGATATTGGTCGCGAAAGCCGACGTGTTAAACTCAATAAGCACCAACAATGGAACGTGAAAAGGGGCCCCGCTGTCAAAGCTTTGGGAAGGGGTTTTGGAGTAGGTCAGTTGGTTAGAGTTAGGGTCAGGGAGATGGCCATTTGTTTAGGTTTAGGGTCAGCGAGAGGGCTCCTACTAGAGACTGGCTGGTACTCGTGGCTGCTTGGCTAACTGGTAGGGTCAGTCAGGGTGAGTACTAATGGCTGACTGGCTAGATAGTTAAGTTTAGCGTCCGTGACAGGGCTAGTCATGGAGCTGGTTGGCTGTTTGAGTTCGATCTAGTTCTCGTGGTTTGTTTGGCATTTTGTTAAGGTTCGGGCCAGTGAGAGGGCGAGTAAAAAAAAATTGTATTGGCTACTTAAGAGTTAAGGTCGGGCTAGCATTTTTGCCTTCCCTCTGACATCCATCGGAACGTATGGCCTTTTCAGTTTCTGGTTACTTTTCATTACTCATGCTCCCAGTGGCTGATGATTACTCGGAGGCGCTACTGCTGCTTTATACTGGTAGGAACCACCTGGTTCCACCAGCCCACAGGGGATTATTGTGTCCGTCCGTCGTGCATCAAAAAATGGGAGGGCTGGGTGGAGAGGGGAGGGACTGGGTGGGGAGGGGGAGGGGGCTGGGTGGGGATGGGGCTGGGTGAGGGGTGGGGCTGGGTGGGCGGTGGGAGGGGTCGGGCTAGGTGGGGAGGGAGGGGCTGGGTGGGGAGGGAGGGGCTGGGTGGGGGATGGGAGGGGTGGGGCTGGGTGGGGAGGGGCTGGTCACCCCGTGATGCCCTTATAAAACTCAACGTTTAACCTACTCACGCCGGCTTGTGCCCGCCCTCACAGTCGGGCATATTTGCGGAATACACCACGCCGCCGTTGACCCTGGCCATTGACCGAGCAACCCAACGTTCCTACCAGCTCCCTCCGCAGGAGGAATGTGTTGAATCCAATGCCCTTAACGTATCATGGGCTGATGGGCGGTGTAGGAAGCTGAACCTAAAGCCACCAAACACGGCCACGTCGCTGTTGACAGGCCCCTGCCACGGACACAAACGCCGTCATCCGCCAGGAAACCTAAATTCCAGCGAAAGACAATTATGCAAATCGTGCACCCCACATTGTATGCCAATAACAAATCGTGCTCATTAGGGAAGGCGCTGCATGCCAATAACGTCAATTATGCAAATTGAGATTCGGTGCTCTGGAATATTGTTATTGTTTACAGGGCTTGTTGATTGCAGGTTGGGGAGGGGAGGTTCCTGTCGGTCGTGTAAATGTCACAGAACAACAGGCTCCAAATGCCGCCGATGTTTGCATCCTGAAGTGTGTGTTGCCTTGCTGCGCGGCACTACGACTCTCGTCAAGACAATTCAAGTTTAAACAAAACTGTAAGATAGAAGTGTGGTGCAATTAGGAACCTTTGCTGTTGAAAAGCAGGCAAATCGATCTGCTTGATCAAAGGGTTGCCCTTTGATTAAAGGGTTGTCCTTTGATCAACTGGAGCTAATTAAAAACTTCCAAGGACAAACACATTAGGAAAGAGTAACGTCATTCCGTGCGTGTGCATGATTTCCCCCCATAACTCATCACCTAACGGAGCATCACAGCCGTGTGGGACACGGAGATGCGTTCAGAGCTGTTTGACGTTTTGGGCTGCGTCTTCCTTGTGTGTGCACAGACAAATATAGTTGTGTCCTCCACAGGATTTGTGCCAGACTGCCGTAGCTAGCGAACTGCTGCTTACTTCGCTTCTCACCGCGACCCCCCGTCACAACATCTCTCCTTGCTGCTGCTTTTGCTCCCCCATCCACGCCCCGGCAACCATGACGCCGGACAAGTGACTGCCGCGGTTGCTGTTAGCGATGCTGCCATCTCTAAGGCAACCGTAGCCACGGGAACAACCAGTTGCCTCCTCTCTCCAACTCTTCCCCACCCACCCATCCACCCACTCACCCCTTACAGCTCCCACCCACCACCACATCCAGCAGAGAAAATTGGTGAGCTGAGCCAAGGGTTTCCAATAATAGCAGGGGCACGTCGCTTTCCGAAGCCCCAAAGGGGACCGAGGGATTTTTTTTCACCGACAATAATTGGCTTATTTCAGCATGGGTCCCTAACGCGAGCACGCACGGCGTTCGAACAAGATGGGATTCGTAAGACGCGAGCAAACCAAACAATATGTTAAAGGTCTGTGAAGCCTCTTTTTTCTAAATATACAAAATGATGAAAAATAAGAAGAGGTTTTTGCCCTTTCTGCCAATAAAACTGGAGGTGTTAAGATGTTCAAGCATCAAATAGACACCGTTTGCAAGGCATTACGTCTGCATTAACCACACGTACTTGTGGCAAAACATGCAAACATAATATTTGCATTGTGTTTTAAACTGATTTGCCTACACCAGAGACAGCCTTCTTTATGGCCTTGTCTGAGCAGTGTTCGACCAGAGGACGCCAAAAGGCGAACAATACAAACACAACGCAAGTATCAGAACACTTATAGCTCGGGTCGAGCAGCTATATCTATGGGACCTTTCCCCCTGTATACAAAATAATGATGTTGCCACAAGTACATGCTTTGCCACGAGTATGTGCGGTTAATGCAGTCTTGCTGCCTTGCAAAAGGTTTCTGTTGTTTGAACATCTTAACAGCTGTTTTATTGCCAGAAAGGGTAAATAACAACCTCTTAGATATTTTCATCAATATGTTAAAGAACATCGGACGCCCACAAGACGTGCATACATGTGGTTACAGTAGTATGTGAGCCCAGACCAGATAATGTATTTGTCGGTACCACCTGAGGTGGCATAACTTTAGCGGTTCCAATATTTTGTTCTGTTGCCAAATACAGTGAATTATGTAATAACCATTTGAAACGAGTGAGGTTATCAAGTAATTCGCTCTCAGTTGGCCACGTAAATACATCGGCAATTTTTGCTATCTTAGGTGCTACCGATTTCTGCCCTGGCCCGTGAACTCCAAAAATCCCAAAAACGGGGAGACTGCTCATGACCAAATCATCCGATCTCATCAGACCTCAGAAGCTAAGCGGGATGGAGCCTGGAAAGTGCTTGGATGGGTGACCGCCAAACATAACACAGGCTGCTGCCAGGCTAGGTAGGTGGGCAGCAAAGGGTGGTGCAGTAAAATTCATTTGTTGCACACTACCGTAAACAGATGATAATCGATTATCCGGGAATGCGATTATCCGACTTCCAACATGACCCTGATCCGGCGAAATCTCCAAAAACCGCTCCAAAGGCTGTAACCCAGTTCGGCGATCAGCACCGTGTGCGTGACGAAAAAAAGTACCTATGCTTGATATCAGTGTCAAATATTATATACAGTACATTATACACTATTTACAACGAAAAAAATGAAAATTCTGCACGTGTGTACATCACCCCATAATGCAGTCTTCAAGATTGGAGTGGTAACTACGGTCCAGTAAATAAAGTCACTTTTTAAAGTGGGATATTTATATTTGTATGTTTATTCACGTCAATTTCATATAGAAAACAAATTTAAAACATAAGAGGTTTTTGGGTGATATCGCGTTAATAACACATTCCTGCGGAGGGAGCTGGTAGGAACGTTGGGTTGCTCGGTCAATGGCCAGGGTTAACGGCGGCGTGGTGTATTCCGCAAATATGGCCGACTGTGAGGGCGGGCACAAGCCGGCGTGAGTAGGTTAAACGTTGAGTTTTCTAAGGGCACCACGGGGTGACCAGCCCCTCCCCACCCAGCCCCACCACTCCCACCCTCCCCACCTAGCCCCTACCCACCCAGCCCCTCCCCACCCTCCCTTCTCCACCCAGCCCCACCCCTCCCAATTTTGGATGCATGAGGGACGGACACAATAATCCCCTGTGGGCTGGTGTAACCAGGAGGTTCCTACCAGTATGAACTAACCCAAAAACCTCTATTATGGATGAAAAAGCTTACGCGTTAAATTTAAACAACAAAAAAATATATTACATCTGAAAACAATGTCGTACAAGAATGTGCAAAAATAAGCAATTTTAAATAATGACTTGGTGATTATCCGGCGTTTTGAAAATCCGGCGCCCCCCCCCCTGCCCCAAAGCCGCCAGATAATCGATGATCGACTGTACTTCTATGCTCTTATATCTACATCCTCTGCCTTCACGAAACCATCATTGACGGCTGTGGTGAAGTATATTCCTGTAACTCCCATCACCCGTGCAGGCATCGAGGACAAGGAGCGCGTTTTCCGCTTGTTGAAGTTTTGCGGCTCGAGTCCAGC